TGTTACTTAAGAAATCTCACTTAGATATACATCCCTCGAGTCATCTAAATATTACGTGATCCATATCAACTAAACCATGTCTGATCATCACGTGAGATCGAGTAGTCATCAATGATGAACATTTCTATGTTGATCATATCTACTAAATGATTCACGTTCGACCTTTAGGTCTCCAGTGTTCCAAGTCCATGTTTGTACATGCTAGGCTCGTCAAGTTTTTCCCGAGTATTCCGCATGTGCAAAACTATCCTGCACCTTTTGTATGTGAACATAGAGCCTATCACACCCGATCATCACGTAGTGTCTCAGCACGAAGAATTGTCGCAACGGTGCATACTCAGGGAGAACACTTATACCTTGAAATTTTAGTAAGGTATCATCTTATAATGCTACCGCCGTACTAAGCAAAATAAGATGCATAAAAGATAAACATCACATGCAATCAAAATATGTGACATGATATGGCCATCATCATCTTATGCCTTTGATCTCAATCTCCAAAACACCGTCATGATCTCCATCGTCACCGGCTTGACACCTTGATCTCCATCGTAGCATCGTGGTCGTCTTGCCAATTATTGCTTCTACAACTATCGCTAACACATAGTGATAAAGTAAATCAATTACATGGCGCTTGTATTTCATACAATAAAGCGACAACCATAAGGCTCCTGCCAGTTGCTGGTAACTTTTCCAAAACATGATCATCTCATACAATAACGTATATCACATCATGTCTTGACCATATCACATCACAACATGCCCTGCAAAAACAAGTTAGACGTCCTCTAGTTTGTTGTTGCAAGTTTTACGTGGCTGCTACGGGCTTCTAGTAAGAACCGTTCTTACCTACGCATCAAAACCACAACGGCGTTTCATCAAGTTTGATGTTTTAACCTTCAACAAGGACCGGCCGCAGTCAAATTCGATTCGACTAAAGTTGGAGAAACAGACACCCACTAGCCACCTTTATGCAAAACTAGTTGCATGTCTGTCGGTGGAACCGGTCTCATGAACATGGTCATGTAAGGTTGGTCCGGGCCGCTTCATCCAACAATACCGCCGAACCAAAATAAGACGTTGGTGGTAAGCAGTATGACTATCCCCGCCCACAACTCTTTGTGTTCTACTCGTGCATATCATCTACGCATAGACCTGGCTCTAATACCACTACTGAGGAACGTAGCATGCAATTTCAAAAAAATTCCTACACTCACGCAAGATCTATCTAGCAGATGCATAGCAACGAGAAGGGGAGAGTGTGTCCACATACCCTCGTACACCGAAAGCAGAACCGTTAGCTTAACGTGGTTGATGTAGTCTAACGTCTTCTCGATCCAACCGATCAAGTACCGAACATACGACACCTCCGAGTTATGCACACGTTCAGCTCTATGACGTCCCTCGAACTCTTGATCCAGCAAAGTGTCGAGGGAGAGTTCCATCAGCACGATGGCGTGGTGACGGTGATGGTGAAGTGATCCGCGTAGGGCTTCGCCTAAGCACTACGTGAATATGACCAAGGGAGTGAACTATGGAGGGGGGCGCCGCACATGGCTTGGAACAATTGTGTCTTAGAGGCACCCCCACCTCCGTATATAAAGGAGGGAGAGGGGAGGAGGCTGGCCCTAGGCGAGCCCCAAGTGGGCGGAGTCCCACTTAGGCTCCTAGTTGGATTCGCCCCCCCCCCTTCCTTTTACCGGAGGGGGAAAGGGGGAAGGAGAGAGCGAGAAGGAAAGGGGGGCGTCGCCCCCTCCCCATGTCCAATTCGTACTCCTCCCTTGGGGGGCACCACCCCTTTGTGGGCTGGTTTGCCTCCCTCCTATGGCCCATATGGCCCATATCTTCCCCCGGGGGGTTCCGGTAACCCCCTCCCTGTACTCTGATATGTACCTGATACATTCCGGAACACTTCGGTGTCCGAATACCACCTTCCAATGTATCAATCTTTACCTCTCGACCATTTTGAGACTCCTCGTCATGTCTGTGATCTCATCCGGGACTCCGAACAACATCCAGTCACCAAAACACATAAGTCGTATAATACAAATCGTCATCGAATGTTAAGCGTGCGGACCCTACGGGTTCGAGAACTATGTAGACATGACCGAGACACCTCTCTGTTCAATAACCAATACCGGAACCTGTATGCTCATATTGGCTCCCACATATTCCACGAAGATCTTCATCGGTCGAACCGTTATGACAACATATGTTATTCCCTTTGTCATTGGTATGTTACTTGCCCAAGATTCGATCGTCGGTATCTTCATACCTAGTTCAAACTCATTACCGGTAAGTCTCTTTACTCATTCTGTAATGCTTCGTCCCGCAACTAATTCATTAGTCACATTGCTTGCAAGGCTTATTATGGTGTGCATTACCAAGAGGGCCCAGAGATACCTCCCCGATACTCAGTGTGACAAATCCTAATCTCGATCTATGCCAACCCAGCAAACACCTTCGGAGATACCTGTAGAGAATCTTTATAATCACCCAGTTACGTTGTGATGTTTGATAGCACACAAGGTATTCCTCCGGTATCCGAGAGTTGCATAATCTCATAGTCAAAGGAATATATATAAGTCATGAAGAAAGCAATAGCAATAAAACTTAGCGATCATTATGCTAAGCTAACTGATGGGTCTTGTCCATCACATCATTCTCCTAATGATGTGATCCCGTTAATCAAATGACAACACATGTCTATGGCTAGGAAACTTAACCATCTTTGATAACCGAGATAGTCTAGTAGAGGCTTAATAGGGACACAGTGTTTTGCCTATGTATTCACACATGTATCAAGTTTCCGGTTAATACATTCTAGCATGAATAACAAACATTTATCATGATATAAGGAAATATAAAATAACAACTTTATTATTGCCTCTAGGGCATATTTCCTTCATGTGTTGCTCTTCGCTTCTAGCTTGAAGAGAGACATAGGTACACATCCAGATCTTCGAAACTAGATATCATGTTAATAGATTTCGAAGAAAAAGTTACATGAAAAAACAGAAAAGAAAACCAATAGTTGAAAACATTTTTTACCCTTTTCTTTTGCAACAGGAAGAGTTGTGCTTCTCGCAGAAGCATATTTGTGTCTCCACAAGAAGCAAATTTGTATCCCTCGCAGAAGCAAAAAAAATATGCTTTTTCCCCAGAGGCACATGCAAATATGTGCCTCCATAAAAGGCAAATATGTGCCCTCACGAGTGGCAACTATGGAAGAAAACGATGTGTTTTGTTGCTTTTCCAAGAGGCACAATTGTGCCTCCACACGAATCAAATCTGCGCCTCTCGTGCAAACAACAAAATACGTATTGTTTTTTAAGAGACACGATTGTGCCTCTCGTAGATGCAAATCTGTACCTCCACGCGAAGTAAATCTATGCCTCTCGTTGAAGCCAAAAAATGCCTTTTGTCTTTTAGGAGACACAATTGCGCCTCTTCACGAAAGCAAATATGTGCCTCGGCGAGAAGCAAATATGTGCCTCTCATGAAAGTAAAAGAAAAACGTGTTTATTTTCATGCAAAAAATTCAACCTTTTTTCTCCAACATCTAGGGAAAACCGAAATGCCGAAAACCACCAGAAGAAAACATCTAAACTCCCAAAATGTGTACAAAAACATAAGAAAACGAGGGAGCGCTCAACATGTGCCACATGGCAGCCGCTAAGAGCGCGCCAAATAACATGCTCTCAGCCCACCAAAAATGACCCTTGCAAGGCTCCGCATGGGTATCCTTCATTAGTTGCTCCCCGCTTCTAGCTTGAAGTGAGACATAGGCGCACCCAGGCGGGCGGCCCAGTGAGCTCACAGCCTAGGCCGTGAACCACATAGGGGTATCTTGTGGTAGTGGGCGCTGAATAGGAGGAGCTCCCGAATTGGAAAGAAAGTGGCAGCGCAGGCTGGGCGCTGGCCCATGAAAAGCGAGGAACCGGGCCAATCCACGGAGAGGGACGTATCAGTGTGTATGCCAGTATTCTGTCAGTCACTCAAAAAAAATCAGTGTGTACACCCGTTGCTAAAAAAAATCAGTGTGTATACCATTTGCTACAAAAAGAATTTTTATAACAAAAATAAAAAGAATAAAGAATTTGTATTTGCTCAAGAAAAAAGAATTTGTCTTAACAAAAATGCTATAAAAGGAATCAGTCTGTGTAGTGTGCACCACCCCCTAAAAAGAGTTCTGCACAGTGCATATCATGTCTCGTCCATTAATAAGCTACTCCCTCTATTCACTTTTATATGACCTTGAAGACATTTCAGGCAATGTGCAAAACAGTCCATTTTAAGTTGTCTGAAACGATTTACAAAAATGAATGGAGGGAGTAGCAAAAATAAATCACAAGCTAGAGAATTTAGGTTTAGTAGGGGTTTAATGATAAGATTAAGATAACAGGAGAAGTAATTGGAGAAAACAACGCAATAGTGTTAGTTTCAACACATAGCAAAACTAATGATTAAGGATCGCAAGACTAGTCTATGAGTCTGTATTTGCCTTCCAACCGAAACCTTCAGAGACTAGTCCATGAACCCTCGACTGGTCCCATGCGGAACTTGTTCAAAATTCGTTATTAAGCCGAACAGATGAGCCTGACAGAATACTGGCCAACATGTTTCAAGAGTAGCCCCTAAACAAAGTAATGCTACAGAGGAGGACAAAAAACAGATCCTACCTTTGATTCAAGATATACATATGGTCCAAGACCAAAACTAAACTATGCCGAAGATTTGCTGCAGTTCAGTAGATTATGCCAAATCAAGGACTGTCACCGCCGGTTAAAGTGAACCCTTATTCTCTGTGGTTTTATGTACCGTCTTCTGCAACTGCAATATTCAAAATATATATGCTTCCCGTGTTTGCTTTCTTGTCCAGATTCACTACGTCCTGTATTTGCATATCCTAACCTAAACCAGATCATATAGCCTTAGATCTCAATTTGGAAATGTTCCAAAAGCGTGACGTTCATCAACATCCCTTGTGGCCTTGTACTTTATACAGGAGAAACTGTTGTACTCGGTTGCGACGAGTTCTCATTATTAAGTGTGTCATGTTCAGATGACTCAACCCAAAGGGGTGACAAGGCCACCACCTTGCCGATAATTATCAGAGTTGGAGAAACCAAATCCGCCGAGTGGACCTCATTCACAAGATCCTTCAACATTGCAAATACCTACAGCAAAAGAAACATTCAGCATCTAAAAGCTAGGGCTGGAACACAATTTAGATGGTAAGGCTCTGTGACTCGGTACCATTCGCTGTTGGGGGGTAGTCCCACGCTCTACTGCAACAGCAGGAGTATCTGGTGGAAGACCGTGCTTCATTAACTTGGGAGCTAGTGATGGTAATGTTGACAAACCCATATACACAACCAAAGTTGTGTCCGGGTCGGCTGCATTCTCTGCCACATGTAGAGGATCAGTCCCACCATTTCTAGAGTGGCCGGTTAAAAATCTGACACTGCAAAAAAAGATCATATGTCAAAAATGTACTACTCAGCATTCATAAACACTTTCTCATTGCATAATGCATCACCAACAATTAATTTTGCCAGTCTGTTCGTTTACCATGATATCTATAATCATCTTATGTTCCTCTTAACCAAAATTTGAAGGCAGGGCAGGGCATTCCTTTCACCCACGAAAAAGTATTACCATGATACCTATCTTGCCTGTGATGGGCTGGAGATACCAGAGACGGCGGCTTGAATGCGGTGCTTGGAGTTGGCTTCTTGTTCGCCGCGCCGGTGTCAATGCCGGGCAGGCAGACGGCTGGTCAGCCAGCCAGCTTGAGTGCGGTAGGAAGTCGCACCGCCCGGTCACGTTCACCCTGAACAGGCATGAATGTGACACGGAGACGGAGCAGGCGCGGCGGGAGAGGCGGAAGAGTGGTTTTTGGGTGGGCCCGCGTTGTTGGATGCCAACGTGGCGGGAGTCTGAACACCCACAAACCGCCCCCTGGTTTGGTTCCGGTTTGTGGGACTTTGGTCCGGACCAGTCCGAACAATTTTGCTGACCGCCGTTGGATGGCAAAAATGTCCAGACTGTCCGGTCCGGACATTCACAGGCAGTTTGATGATCCGCGTTAGAGTTGCCCTGAGCCAGGCAAAGGCCTTGTCTCTGGCCGATAGCCGAAGCCCACAACAATGACGCTTCCAAGTACTGATTAATTCTTGAAGGCTCCATCGAGGTGATGCTCTCTTTCCCCTCCTGACGTAGCTCCAGGGGGGACTCTAGATCCGTGTGGTTGGATGACGATGACGCTTATACGTCATCTCCCTACTCAGGAACATCAATTTTGGAGTTGTGCTACAGCCGGAGGGACCAGTGGAAGTCTGCAGTAGTTGGTCTCAGGGCATGCGTGCCAATGATGAAAGGGCTGAGCAATGTCGGGGTTGTGCCAGGCTTTGGTACTCAACTCTTTTGCGTGTCCATGGTCTCGCCGTAGTTTGTATGCTGCTATGAAGACATAGCTGCGTCGGTATCATCTGGGTGGTGACAATGACATGTGATGGACGGTCCGGTTGTTGTGCTCCTCTGTTATGACCGGCATATTAGGTGGGCTGTGGCCCAAGTTATCTTATCGTTATTAGGGGCTTAGCCCAATTATCTTATCGGTATTAGGGTCGTTTGCTTAGGAGTCAAGTAAACCTCTCTATATAAGGAGAGGAGATGTATCAATCTAATCAAGCAAGAAGCAATCAGTATTTGCTCGGCTTCCCTTAGGGAGCCGGGAGACCTAACCCTAGTCGCCTCTTGCGCCGCCGCCGCCTATTCTCCACCACGCAAGGACGGCGCCCAGCCGCCGGCCGCCGCGCCCTCGACCTCGTCTTCCTCCATCTTTCCCCTACAATCTCCGCCCTAGAACCGGCAAAACCCTAGCTCCTAACACCTTGGTATCAGGTAGCTCAGTTCCGATCATGTCTTCGCCGCCGCCCATCCCATCGCCTCCGCTGCAGACCGTCACCACCGCGCCGCTGGCCTTCTCCACCGCGCCACTGCCCTCCCCGTCCGCGCCGCTGGTCGCATCCTCCGGCGCCGCCGCCACCCAGATGACGGTGCCACCGGCCGCCGTCTACTCCCCGGCGGAGATCACCGGGGTCCTCAACGATCTCGTCACCGCCGTCCAGGGGATACGGCTATACCTAGCCGGCCCCTACGGGCCACCGGCCGCCGCGACCGGGCCAACCGCCCTGCCGTGGTATTCGGCACCCGCGGCGCCGACCGGGCCTCTACACCACCACTGGCCGCTTCAGCCGCCGCCCGCCGCCGTGCCCCAATGGCCGCAGTGGCCGGCGCCGGCCCTCGCCGCGTCACCCACGCCACCCGGGTCCTCGCCGCCACTGCCCTGGCAGCCCTGGCAGCCGCCGCACCCCGGGGCCACCGCGACGCTGGTCGGGCCGCTGCAGCTACAGCCAACCCCCGCCACCACCCCCATCTGGCCACAATGGCCGGACGCGGCCATCGCCGCGCCCGCCGCCTCTGCCGTTTCCAGGCAGCAGCAACTGCCGCTGCCGGCGCCTCCGCCGGCCAGCACCGGGCTGACTACAACCGCGCCAGTGGGCGTACCGATTCAGCAAGTGCGGTTCCCGCCCTCGCCGTCCCAGCTTCCGCCCTAGTTGGCCGGGACGTCACCGCTGCCAGTCTACACCATGGCCGCGGACCAGCCGGTGCCCTCCCTGTCGTACGATGGGCCCTCCGGCTCCGCGGGTTTCCACGCTGGCTTCGACGGGCCACCTCTTTCCTGCGGACCACCTGTGCACACCGGACCAACGCCATCCTCTTTGCTGCTCCGTACCGCCGAGTCGTACACTCACGGCGGTTATGCTCAGACACCGCCGCGCTTCGCCAAGCTCTCCTTCGCCACCTACGACGGCGCCGAGGACCCCCTCAACTGGCTCAACCAGTGTGAGCAGTTCTTCCGGGGGCAACAGACGCTCGCGTCGGACCGCACCTGGCTCGCCTCTTATCACCTCCGCGGTGCCGCACAGACGTGGTACTACGCCCTCAAGCAGGACGAGAGCGGCATGCCCCCATGGGAGCGTTTTCGCGAGTTCTGCCTCCTTCAGATTCAGACTACCGATACGTGGGAGCCGGCTGGCGGAGCTGGGCCGCCTTCCCTTCACCTCTACGGTGCAGGACTACACCGACCGCTTTCAGGCCCTGGCGTGCCACGCGTCCGGCGTGACGGCTCCCCAGCGGGCCGAACTCTTCGTCGGCGGTCTGCCAGATCATATCCGCGTGGACGTCGAGCTGCAGGGACCCCAAGACCTCCAGACAGCCATGTACTACGCCCGCGCGATCGAGCGCCGCGCGGTGGCCATCCAGCAGGCATCACCGTCCCGGGCCGCTGGGCCGCCAACTTGGCCGGATGTTCCCGCGCAGGGTCGGCCTGCTCAAGCTTCCGCGGCGCGCCCTTTCCGCCGGCTCACCTCGGTCGAGCTACTCGAGCGTCGCCGCCAAGGGTTGTGCTTCAACTGCGACGAGACCTACATGCCCGGCCACGTCTGCCCCCGACTCTTCTACCTGGAGGCTGCATACTACATTGAGGAGGACGCCGTCGCCGCCGGGCTCGGCGACCTGGCCGCCCCAGCTGTCGCGGAGGTGTTTGACGCTGGTTGATCACCTCGAGGAGTTCAGCAAGCGCTTCCCCGCCTTACAGCTCGAGGTCGAGCTGTCTGTGCAGGCGGGGAGAAGTGTTATGACCGGCATATTAGGTGGGCTGTGGCCCAAGTTATCTTATCGTTATTAGGGGCTTAGCCCAATTATCTTATCGGTATTAGGGTCGTTTGCTTAGGAGTCAAGTAAACCTCTCTATATAAGGAGAGGAGATGTATCAATCTAATCAAGCAAGAAGCAATCAGTATTTGCTCGGCTTCCCTTAGGGAGCCGGGAGACCTAACCCTAGTCGCCTCTTGCGCCGCCGCCGCCTATTCTCCACCACGCAAGGACGGCGCCCAGCCGCCGGCCGCCACGCCCTCGACCTCGTCTTCCTCCATCTTTCCCCTACAATCTCCGCCCTAGAACCGGCAAAACCCTAGCTCCTAACATCCTCCTTGGCACAAAACTGCATTTCGCTCCGTCGTAGCTCGCCTTCAGATCCGCAGCTGCTTGGTGGTCGTCAATGGCGAAGTCAGAGTCACTTGTTCTCGGAGGAGTGATGACAATGACACAACAGATACCTCAGCGGGTGCTTCCCTCAACAGTGTGTGCAGTGTATCTGTTGTGTGACAGATTGGCTGGCCGTGCAATCAAGACTGTCATGTTCCGGTATGGGTGGTTGTATAGGTTTTAACCTGTTTTTCCGTAATTAACCGCGTGATTCTCACTTTCATCATATATATGAAAATGGCAAATCTTTTACCTCGTTAAAAAAAACTTTTTCTTGCATCTATTCAGCTACAGAACTTAAGAACACAGAGATAGGCAAATGGAGTATTAGTGCAAAGCATTTGCACTATACTGCTTTTATAATCAAATTACGTTGAGCAAATGTCATACATTTGGGAGTAATAAGCTAGGACAGCATCGAACCTCAACTCTAATATTTACTAAATCAGATAGAAATTTCAAGTTGCATTCGAGAAGTAGATGCAGATGATGAAAATCAACTGATCAGCTGTGACGAAGATTACACAGAAGCCATTTCAAAGAAAAGCATGTTTTGATAAAGGGCAACAACTAGATCAGTCGGCCACATCACAAGAATGATAGAAGCGGGCGCAATGCTGACTTTACCTGGTAGCGACACCCCGATGGGTTAGCGGAATACCAAGTTCAGCTGCAATTCCTGAAGCAGAGGTAATTCCTGTAGATGTTTGGGTGCAAGCAATTATTACCTGTTTCATTGCGAATAGTGAAAATTATCCAAGCTGCCATCACAGGCTTACAATACCTGGAATAACTTCAACTTTAATTCCTTGTTGCTGTAGAAAATCCATCTCTTCTCCACCCCTTCCAAAGACCTGAAAAGAACACGATTAACATACTTCCTCCAAGGTAAAGGTACATATCACTATTTCGCTAACGTCAGTTCTCTGCTGGAGTACTGAGGATATCTATGTTCGACAAAAAAAAGAGGGAGATCGGAACAAGTATCCCAATATTGGGATTTTCAATAGAGGCTGTTGGTACTTGGTAGGATGATCTTTTTCTTGATAGTAATTTATACTAAGATGTCATAATTTGGCATATTTTGTTCTCTACCACCTCTGAAAGATTTTAAGAATGAGCATAGAACATTGCATGGAGAAGTATTTCTACAGAAGAGTGGCTATTGCACAGAGAAGTGTTTATAATGCTGGACAAACTCAAGTCAGCAGAGAGTTTGCTGTTTAACATTGATGCACATGCAACAAAGCCTAAATTAGGACTCAGCTGCTTTCCTCCAAACTGTCCATTTTCTAGGATCAAGGACTTCATGTGAATAGTCATACAGAAATTGGCCTCCCTTCTACCAAGTGGAACTACTACAAGAATCATCGACCGGTACAACTGTAGATAACTATTGAGTACTGTAGTATTGAAAATATGAAGTGAGTATTACCAGAGGATCGCCGCCTTTCAACCGCACCACATTGGCACCAGCCTCCGCGAAGCTCAGGAGCAACTCATGAATTTCTTCCTGCATTACATGAGCAAGCCGACAAACTTAGAAACTGCAGACATATCATTGGCATTTCAAACTAGATATAAACCTCAAAGCACCTGAATTTAAATACGAACACGGAATGAATGATCCTTGTGACTGACCTGAGTGCGACTGTGGTATCCGGCCGTCTTGCCGACGTAGAGTAGCCTGGCGCCATCCGCGACCAAATCGAGCACCTCGTTGGACACGAGGCGATCGTACAGCACCAGGTCCGCCGCCTCGATGGCCCGAACCGCCTTGAGCGTCAGGAGCTCCGGGTCCCCTGGCCCCGTCCCAACCAGCGCTACCCTCCCGGGCCCACCGCCGCCGCGCTCCCCTTCCAGCCCTTTCCCTCTGGACGCCCTGAGAGCCTCCAGAAGCCTCCGCAGCTCCGGGAGCTGCAGGGCGATCTCGTCGTCCCGGCGGCCCGAGGCTGCCGCCGCGGCGGCGGCGGCGGCGGCGGACGAGGAAGAGGAGGAGTCTTGGGCAGTGTAGGACCAGGCGTCGCGGCGGTATCTCGAGGAGGACGTGGCCTCGGTGAAGGGCGACGCGGCGGCGCAGATGGCGGTGGTGGCGGCAGCGGAGGAGGAAGGCCTCGCGGTGCTGGCGAAAGCGGTGGAGGTCGCGGGAATGGAGGCGGGAAGCGGCTGGAAGCGGGGCGCTCGAAGGGCGAGAGCCATGGCGTCGCAAGGGGTGTGGACCGTGGATTTAGGCAGGGGTTGGTATTTTATACGGGAGCGAGGTGAGGTGAGGTGAGGGCCGGAGCAGGACAGCCGGAGCCGGGTGGTCTGTTGTGGTGGTGTGGTTTTGGATGGGCGAAGGGGTGGAGGGCAGAGGGGATCGGAGTCCAGAGGAGGGAGGAGGCGGCCCTTCCTTTTGATTAAAAAAAGTGCGGCCTTGCGAGTGTGGAAGGGCCAGGTTCAATGAACCGCCGCGGCACACAACGGGGTTCAGGTCAGGACTCAGGAGGTAGCCAAGTGAGAGTGCGCCCCTCTAGCTCTGGGCTACCTTTTGCTGCGCCGCCGCCGGCGGCCTCCACGATGGTGTCATGCAGTGTGTCAGCCACGCGCGCACATCGCTAAACCGAGCGACTGTGGTCAGTGTCTTGGAAATATGCTTCAGCTTTGGTTTCTCCTTCCTTTCGCAGCCGTAGGTGACGATGTTAGAGCATCTCCAACACAAATATGCAAATTTAGAGATATGAAATAAATTTACATCTCCAAAAAATGATTTTTACTTCTTCAACAAAGAGGCAACTGACGAAGTTCAGTTTCATTCATGTGCTGAACAGCTTCCCCGACCTGACCCCCGCGTCGCTCCCTTCGGGCGACTCGGGGGAGACAACGCCGCAGCCGTGGGTCCCCCACCTGTCGGTGCCCTCCTCTCCGCCGCTGCCGCTGGCTTGGCCGCGGTGGCGGCGGCCCCGTCTCCGAAGGTGGCGTGGGGAGACCCGCGGTGGACGCTGGGAAGCTCGATGGGCGCGGGACGAGATGCGTCGTTCGCGGCGGCGGGGGAGCGCGGGCAGCGGCCCAGCTGGATGCGTGGCCGACGGCGGCCGATGCGGATGGGCCAGATCCGTGCGTCTTCAGGTCCCGTGGTGGATGGTGCAGGAGCGGTGGCTGCTCTGCGGGTGGCTGCGTCCCGTAGGCGAATCTGGCCGGCGCGCCTGGATCCGTGCGCGTGGCCTGCCATAGGCACCGCCACGGGGCTGGTGGCTGCTGGGTCTTGCTGCGCGTAGCCGAATCTGGCCTTGGTTCTCGCCGTCCAGGCGAGTCGGGGATCCAGACGCGACGCCTCCATTCTGGCGCCTCGAGGCGCGGTGGTGGCTGCTGCTCAGCAGCGAGGTGGCGGCTCACTGCTGGGAGCTTAGGATGTGTGTAGCAGACAGAGGGTTGGGCGTGGAAGGACGGCTTCTTGCCTTGTGTGCATCGGATCTGGTCTCCGGCAAGCATGTTGTAGCGCGTGTGGTGCGTGTCAGCGCGATTGATGTATGGCTGCAGCTCGAAACCATGGTGGTTCTTGGCCTCGGGCAATGTTCCGCTGCTCTTTGTCGGCATGGTGCTGAAGGAAATATGCCCTAAAGGCAATAATAAAGTTATTATTTATTTCCTCATATCATGATAAATGTTTATTATTCATGCTAGAATTGTATTGACCGGAAACATGATACATGTGTGAATACATAGACCAACATAACATCACTAGTATGCCTCTACTTGACTAGCTCATTAATCAAAGATGGTTATGTTTCCTAACCATAGACATGTGTTTTCATTTGATTAACGGGATCACATTATTAGGAGAATGATGTGATTGACATGACCCATTCTGTTAGCCTAGCACTTGATCGTTTAGTATATTGCTATTGCTTTCTTCATGACTTATACATGTTCCTGTAACTATGAGATTATGCAACTCCCGTTTACCGGAGGAACACTTTGGGTGCTACCAAACGTCACAACGTAACTGGGTGATTATAAAGGAGCACTACAGGTGTCTCCAAAGGTACATGTTGGGTTGGCGTATTTCGAGATTAGGTTTTGTCACTCCGATTGTCGGAGAGGTATCTCTGGGCCCTCTCGGTAATGCACATCACTATAAGCCTTGCAAGCAATGTAGCTAATGAGTTAGTTACGGAATGATGCATTACGTAACGAGTAAAGAGACTTGCCGGTAACGAGATTGAACTAGGTATTGGATACCGACGATCGAATCTCGGGCAAGTAACATACCGATGACAAAGGGAACAACGTATGTTGTTATGCGGTTTGACCGATAAAGATCTTCGTAGAATATGTAGGAGCCAATATGGGCATCCAGGTTCCGCTATTGGTTATTGACCGAGAATAGTTCTAGGTCATGTCTACATAGTTCTCGAACCCGTAGGGTCCGCACGCTTAACGTTACGATGACAGTTTTATTATGAGTTTATAAGTTTTGATGTACCAAATTTTATTCGGAGTCCCGGATGTGATCACGGACATGACGAGGAGTCTCGAAATGGTCGAGACATAAAGATTGATATATTGGAAGCCTATGTTTGGACATCGGAAGTGTTCCGGGTGAAATCGGCATTTTACTAGAGTATCGGGAGGTTACCGGAACCCCCCGGTGACCTAATGGGCCTTATTGGGCCTAGTGGAGGAAGAGGAGAGGAGGCCTAGGGGCAGCCGCGCGCCCCTCCCCCCCAGTCGGAATAGGACAAGGAGGGGGGCGGCGCCCCCCTTTACTTTCCCCCTCTCCTCCTTCCCCCCAAGTCCTAGTCCAACTAGGGAAAGGGAGGAGTCCTACTCCTGGTGGGAGTAGGACTCCTCCGGCGCGCCTCCTCCTAGGGCCGGCCGCACCCCCCTTGCTCCTTTATATACGGGGGCAGGGGGGCACCCTAGGACACACAAGTTGATCTACGTGATCGTTCCTTAGCCGTGTGCGGTGCCCCCCTCCACCATATTCCACCTCGGTCATATCGTCGCGGAGTTTAGCGAAGCCCTGCACCGGTAGAACATCATCATCGTCACCACGCCATCGTGCTGACGGAACTCATCCCCGACACTTTGCTGGATCGGAGTCCGGGGATCGTCATCGAGCTGAACGTGTACTGAACTCGGAGGTGCCGTACGTTCGGTACTTGGATCGGTCGGATCGTGAAGACGTACGACTACATCAACCGTGTTGTCATAACGCTTCCGCTTACGGTCTACGAGGGTACGTGGACATCACTCTTCCCTCTCGTTGCTATGCATCGCCATGATCTTGCGTGTGCGTAGGAATTTTTTTGAAATTACTACGTTCCCCAAGAGTGGCATCCGAGCCAGGTTTTATGCGTAGATGTCATATGCACGAGTAGAACACAAGTGAGTTGTGGGCGATACAAGTCATACTGCTTACCAGCATGTCATACTTTGGCTCAGTGGTATTGTGAGATGAAGCGGCCCAGACCGACATTACGCGTACGCTTACGCGAGACTGGTTTCACTGTTACGAGCACTCGTGCTTAAAGGTGACTGGCGGGTGTCTGTCTCTCTCACTTTAGCTGAACCGAGTGTGGCTACGCCCGGTCCTTGCGAAGGTTAAAACAGCATTAACTTGACGAACTATCGTTGTGTTTTTGATGCGTAGGTAAGAACGGTTCTTGCTAAGCCCATAGCAGCCACGTAAAATTTGCAACAACAAAATAGAGGACGTCTAACTTGTTTTTGCAGGGCATGTTGTGATGTGATATGGTCAAGACGTGATGCTATATTTTATTGTATGAGATGATCATGTTTTGTAACCGAAGTTATCGGCAACTGGCAGGAGCCATATGGTTGTCGCTTTATTGTATGAAATGCAAACGCCCTGTAATAACTTTACTTTATCACTAAGCGGTAGCAATAGTCGTAGAAGCAATAGATGGCGTAACGACAACGATGCTACGATGGAGATCAAGGTGTCGCGCCGGTGACGATGGTGATCACGACGGTGCTTCGAAGATGGAGATCACAAGCACAAGATGATGATGGCCATATCATATCACTTATATTGATTGCATCTGATGTTTATCCTTTATGCATCTTATCTTGCTTTGATTGACGGTAGCATTTTAAGATGATCTCTCACTAAATTATCAAGAAGTGTTCTCCTTGAGTATGCACCATTGCGAAAGTTCTTCGTGCTGAGACACCACGTGATGATCGGGTGTGATAGGCTCTACGTTTAAATACAACGGGTGCAAAACAGTTGCACACGCGGAATACTCAGGTTAAACTTGACGAGCCTAGCATATAACAGATATGGCCTCGGAACACGGAGACCAAAAGGTCGAGCGTGAATCATATAGTAGATATGATCAACATATTGATGTTCACCGTTGAAACTACTCCATCTCTCGTGACGATCGGACATGGTGTAGTTGATATGGATCACGTAATCACTTAGAGGATTAGAGGGATGTCTATCTAAGTGGGAGTTCTTAAGTAATATGATTAATTAAACTTAAATTTATCATGAACTTAGTACCTGATAGTATTTTGCTTGTCTATGTTTGTTGTAGATAGATGGCTCGTGCTGTTGTTCCGTTGAATTTTAATGCGTTCCTTGAGAAAGCAAAGTTGAAAGATGATGGCAGCAATTACACGGACTGGGTCCGTAACCTGAGGATTATCCTCATTGCTGCACAGAAGAATTACGTCCTGGAAGCACCGCTGGGTGCCAGGCCTGCTGCTGATGCAACTAACGACGTTAAGAACGTCTGGCAGAGCAAAGCTGATGACTACTCGATAGTTCAGTGTACCATGCTTTACGGCTTAGAACCGGGTCTTCAACGACGTTTTGAACGTCATGGAGCATATGAGATGTTCCAGGAGTTGAAGTTAATATTTCAAGCAAATGCCCGGATTGAGAGATATGAAGTCTCCAATAAGTTCTATAGCTGCAAGATGAAGGAGAATAGTTCTGTCAATGAACACATACTCAAAATGTCTGGGTATAATAATCACTTGATTCAACTGGGAGTTAATCTTCCTGATGATAGTGTCATTGACAGAATTCTTCAATCACTACCACCAAGCTACAAGAGCTTCATGATGAACTATAATATGCAAGGGATGGACAAGACTATTCCCGAGCTCTTCGCAATGCTAAAAGTCGCGGAGGTAGAAATCAAGAAGGAGCATCAAGTGTTGATGGTTAACAAGACCACCAG